GCGTACACTCACTAATTGCACATTAACCATTACTGGTTTGTGCGCATCGTATGTTTGTTCGCAATTCAATAAATTAATATTTATTCCTGTTTATCCGTTGAACGCGCACTCGCTCATCTTCAAACGGCAATAATAATTATAATTGTGTGCAAATTTGTCGGCGCTTGTGGCCAACCGGTCGCTCTTTTAGCTCAGTCGTTCTCCCATCCATTTGTTTGGTTGGTTGCGTGTTTGAAATGCCTTTTGTTTGCCTTTATAATCAGTATTAATTGAAAATGTGTTTCAATTTTTCATCTTTTATTATATCTCTGACTCGATGTCAACATACATATATGAGCAGAGATGCCATTTGTGAGCACAGCCAGAGACCGAAATGTTGACTTTCTTCTTCTTAAGAGGTCGAAATGAGAACTGAAATTGATTCATTAATGAATTAAATAAATAAAATTCTTAAGATGGAAATATATTTTCTCAGATTTCTGTCATTTCATTTTATTGATATTGCCAATGTCTTCACTTGTTTACTCCGAGGAAATACATTTAAAAGTTTCTATGAAAAAATTACGACTTGCATTAAAACTATGAAAAATACTTCAGCAATGTAGTGGAAATCAGTACTCAATTTCTTATCACAATATACAAAGAAAATTATAATAAATATAAGTGGTGTGGATGATCAATTCATTAAGTCAGATCACATATACAGGGTGAGATGAAAAAACTGCAACCAACTTCAGACTGCTGTCATTTCTAAGCTACTCGTCCGACAGCTGTTAAAATTATTCCAGTGATAGCTCATTATATTGTTTAGAAGCGTACAAAAGCATTTTGATGAGAATTTTCCAGAAAAAAGGTTATTCGTGATGGAGTTCAAGCGTGAGAATTTGATTTTTTTATATTTGGCTGGAAAACCACGATTGGCTATCGTTAGAGCACTCCAGCATTAAAATGTGAACAAATCTTTTGCGTCTCGTACCCTCGCTGGTGGTCGTGATACTGGTAGCGTAGCCAGACGTCATGGAAGTGGACGGAAGAAAACAGCAACATCAGCAGATATGGTTCGAAAAATAAAGAAGCGACTTGATCGAAATCCGCATCGCAGTGGCCGAAAAATGGCTCGTGAGCTGAACATATAGCAATATTCCATTCGGTAAATATTGAAAAATGAGCTGGGGGTAAAGCCATTGAAATTTCAAAAGTGCAAGTACTTACACCACAACAGAAAGAAAATAGACTCAAAAGAGCTAAAGAGTTGCATCGCTTGGCCGAAAGTGGTGAACTGCCGAATTTGGGTTTCTCAGCTCTGATGAGATTACATTCGTTGTCCAGTCGTTTGTAAACAAACAAAATTATCGTGTTTACTTACCAAAAAGGTTAGATGAAAATGTGCACCTTCGGTTGGCATCAGAATAAATTCCGATTATTACCGTGAAAATATTCTGTAGGGACCTTGGACATTCTAAAAGGACTCAGCACCATCGCATTCAGCGCCACCCAAGAATGGTTACAAAATGAGGTTCCTGGCTTCATTTCCCGCGCACAATGGCCACCAACATTCGGGCAGCGTGTGACGGTTTCATTGGCCGTTTGAAGGCCATAATTCGTACCAAAGGTGACCAATTCGAACAAATCTAAACTTATTCTAAAATGTGATGCTATTTCCGACATTTTTTGCTGCCGTTCAATAAAATTTAAAAAAACGTTAAAATTATGGAGTTTGAAAATATTGCAGTTTTTTTCTCACCCTGTATACCATGATAACTTTCACATCCCATACAGAAATATTTGTTCATTTGTTAAATAGATTTTTATACCTTCAGCCTTATGGCTACAGAGGATATAGATTTTGTGATGGTGTCAACGGTTATAGAACCTAAGTCTCTTTGGACAAAATCCGTTCCAGAAAACGCTATTATTTCAAATACATTAACACCAGTGTCGATGCAGAACTTATCGGTCATCCTCTTTTAGTACCTCCCCCACAAAGAGTCAACAGTCGGAGCAGTTATAACTCTAATAACGAACGAAAGGAGACAACAAATTTCTTTAATCTTCGAGTATCTCAGTATTTCTACCAACCAGAAATCTTTTGTAAAAATGGAGTAGATCGGTCCACTCACATATTATTTCATCCCAATATGAATTTCTTCATCAATGAATAACCTTTCGAGGCTATATCGTCCAAAAATCATGTTATGTGAGAATATTTTTATACATTTCTGTTAAGAGTGAATTAAATGGTATAAGTGCTCAATCGGTCAATTTAATCAATGATTTTTCTTTACTTTCCCAATTATAACTTTCTGACCGACGCTAAGCTACAGTTTTATGCTACACAACTTAAATCTAAAAAATAGCCAAAAAATCAAAATGCGATTTTGATCCATTTTTCGTTGCCTTTTTTGACATTAATTTTTAAGTGAACGTTTTTTCTTTTCCAAAATATTATTTTTTAATAAATATTTAAAAAATCTATTTTGGCATCACTACAATGGTTAATTTCTCACACACGCACACTCACATGTGCGAATGTACTTCATTCTATTTATGTAATTGCTTGTTTACTTATAGATAGATAATCCTGGGAAATTAATTTCGCCCATAATATGGGTATTTTTATACTCATAATTGTGATTATGTCTTAAGTTGTGTAACATTATACAACAATACCAACAACACCGACAGTAGCAGCAGTACCAGCCATCCATTCCATTTCACATAATTGGCCAATTCCATAACTCCATATAATTGGCAAAAAAAAAAAAAAAAAACATACGAATCTGTAGGCTGCTCAAAGTTCAGCGTGTCTGTCAACAAAACTAGCGAACAAGAAATAATATATCACCTACTGGACGGTGGAGGTGGTGTAGGGTGGAAAAACTTTTAGCCAAACTTTGACATAGTGTGGAAAATAAGCCATATAGGCACAAACATGTTATTAATTTGTCACATTAGAATTCTCGGAATTGGCCAAAAGGGGGGAGGGGAGTGAGAAAATATGTTTTGTTCGAATATAAATGGCGACATGCGTTCCCAAGTTTTTTTTTTTCGGGGAGCTGTTTCATAATGAATGCGATGCGACGAAAAAAGAAAACTTTGCCCTTCTAGGGCTATGGTAAAACCCTAAAAATGTTATGGCATTTCATTAGCATTTCACCAGCTGTTTTGAAGAGAGAACATCTTTTTTCCGGGGAAACTCAGTAAAACATGCCTGTCATATGTGCTAAGGAAAATCATTCATTCGCTTGATTAATGAAGGAATTTCGTGGCTAAATCATTGATGGAAAACTTCGTCTGTGATCAGCGGGAGGGTGGAACTTGTCAGAGGCTTTGAAAGGTGTTACCGTCTTGGCATAAACATTTTCAATACAATTAATATCCATCAAAATAAAATTTAAACGTTACAAGGCAATCTTCCCCCACAAGAAGTGTGTTCGCGTATGTGTGCGGGTGCATGAGTGTGTGTGCGTGTCGGGATCGTAGACAACTTTAGCTGTTGAGTGATAATACAAAAACCAAGTTGACGTAAATTCGCAACCCTTTTTATACTTTTGGCTGAACATGCTTGTTTCATTTATCATTCGGAGCTGGGTCTGGTTTCTTAAGGGCAAATCCAAGCTACTGCCAGCTTTGCCGCCTGCTGCAGCTGTAACCACCAAATGAAAATATAAAAGTGTCATTTATTCAAACAGACGTTTTTGCCATTAAAACCTGCAGCTTCTTTATTATTACACAGGAGTGAGTGTGAGCGTGAGAGTGTGTGTGTGTGCGTGTTGGTATGTGCTGACGGCAAAGTTTGGTTGGCCAACCAATTTCAATATTTCATTCACAGAAATGTGTGGGTTGGGGGAGGGGTGATGTTTGGGTTTTTTTCATTCCTTGTGGGACAATGCAAATATTTCCAACCCCTCGAACTGAGTAATTGACTGCTTTGCAAAATGAAATTATTTAATTAATTAAATTGTATGTGCCCTGCAAAAGTTTGTGGCCTTTCCGCTGCCAGGCTGCAAAAAAACCCTTTGCCCATTAGAAAGGCATTCGACTGGAGACGTCGGAAACGGATACTGATTCATGCACATCAGCAATCACTTCATTCTTTGCCCAGCAAAAATATACTTGTACCCGATTCCTGCTGCTGGTGCGGCTGCTACTGCCGTTGGTACTACTGCTGCCGCTTCATCAGCCACAACTCAGCTAACTTTCACAAATCCGCATTGTACTCGACGTAGTACAATTTTCATAGTTTTCCCCAAAGAGTTTTTGTTTGGACCCTCGGCTGTGTATAAATTCAGCAATGCACCCCACCCGTTCCCTCCAGCCGAAATGCAAGTAGCATGACACCCTGTGTTATTTGTTAACGTGTAACCCCAGCGTCTCTGCTACTCTTAATGCATCTTTAGTTTATTTTTTAACAACCCTACCCCTCCCCCTCAACTCTATTGAAGTGAACTTTTCATTAGTTGTTGTTCGGATGAAGTGACTGCAGAACAGCATTACTCTCGAAACGAAAATTTAATTTCCGTTTTTATGCAGCATTTGAACTTATTCAAATCGTATCGCCCCTCCATCGCTCGCCATCCATCCACAACGTCCACATCAACAGGACCAGCAGTCGAAACAACATCTCTTGACTTCTGCTAGTTTAATTTATAGATCATCATCATCAACAACAACAACAGCAGCAACAATAAAACATCAGCATAACAAAATGCTGATTTAAAACAAAAATACAAAAAGAAAAAAATCTATGTTTCTATGTTTTTTTTCATAACATTGAAATACATGCCATTAAATTCAATTAATTTAAAGACTGCAATGAATTGTTAATAATAAATTTAAGAAAATAATGGGAGAGGAATGATACTCATTCATTTATATACATACGGAGAGATGGATGGGCAATGATCTGGGAGGAAATAAATAAACAATATTGAATATTTTAAATTGAAATCTAGATGCCTAAACCTATTAATAAATCGCAATTTTCCTTCTCTTTCCAGGTGAAGTTGAACGTCTACTTAAGGAATACCGCCAGAACCAAGAATTGGTGCGCCGTATCGGTGGCCATTATTATCAAATCATTTATCCGGTGCAGCTAAGACACCACGAGAAAATGGGCATTTCAACGCGTGAAGTGAGTCCACCCAAGGTACGCAATCGTTTACGTTCAAAACGAAATTTAAACAATTACACAATGGTATGTTCATACTCTCACTCCTCACTCCTTTCTATCTCTCTCTCTCTCTCTCGCTCTGACAAACTTTATCATTCATCTGTTGAGACATTGTTACAAACAAAAGTTTCTGTTTTGTATTATTTTCATTTTTATGTTACAATATCCTGATTTTTTTCGTTCGATTTTAAGTTTTTATCTTTTAATTTGACAATCATTCAACCAAATGGAAACTCAACCAACAACAACAAAATCTTCAAGTGGAAAACAGAAACCCATATCAATTTCACCTATTCGAAATTCCCAACAAAATAACCAATTCATGCACCCGAAACACATTCACTGAGTATCAGACAGCAACAACAAAAAGCATACCATTGCTTCAATAACAACAAAAACAATAAAACAAAATAGTTTTAATTCTTTCGAAATTTTATGCATGTTTTTCCACCTAATGAAGATTTTAGAACAACAACAAAAAAAATAAATAAATAAATCTTGTATATTTTTTCCATTGTAAATTAAATTGCATGTCCTTTCTTTCTTTCTTCAAATAAATTGCATTTAGCAGTAACTTATTTTAATATTGTCACAAGGAATTTGTTTTTTTGTTACAAATTTTTGTCAATTGAAGAAAATGGAATTTTATTTGTTGTGTGCTTAGATGGAAAACTATTTCTCTGCAGTGGTAGTTGTAGTCTTGGCAGAAATTTTATTATTAATAATTTAAATTTGATATATAGATAAAGTCGTAAATTTCGGAACATTGATAATAACAAATTAAAGGAGAGCAAAGTATTTTTTAATTATAACAAGGCTTTTGAAAGGGACACAAGAAACAAACTAATACAACACTATAAGGAGCTATATTTTTTCGTTCTTCTTCATATGCCCACATGTATTTTTGCGTTTTTAAATCCCGATGCTAAGGATATACCCGACCAGATATTAAATTAGTTGTTCACCCTGAGATTATATCAATTTATAAGTTATCGGACGTCATCCCACTGTCTTTGGATCCAATGTCTATGAATCGATTTGAATACATTATAACTCTGAATGGGAGTATTTGATTTGGTCAAAATTTCCCCCATTTTATTACTCTTTATTGCGTGAAGGTAGAAAATCTCGGTCAACTTCTTCTGGTGATTCACCGAGGGTCACGAAAAGTCTCAGATTTTCTGAACTATATCCCAAGTAAGAATATGTATGTAGATTTAGTTGTCTGATACATCACACTCTAATGATCGATATTTTTCAAGAGGCATAATAATAATTTTAAAATGTTGAACTCAGTCGGATAAATACATTAAACTTCTTCCACTATGTGCCAGATTATCTCAATCTTTGTAAATTTGTTTCTTCGAGTTGTATTATTGACTTCATAACTGACTTAATAACCATACGCTCAAAGAGGTAAGGATAATCCCGATTTGGACAATAGTTTACCAGGGCATGTAAAACTTTGTAAAAAATTCCTAAAACTTCTCTCAAAAATTTGTCCATGAAATGGTGGATTTTACCAGCAACAGATTCCCCTTTTATTTATGCTTAATCTTTGCCTTGGTGACCAGCAGATCCATCATTGTTTGGAGCACAACGGTCGCTCCGAAACTCGACTTGGCTACAAAGTCATACGAGAGACTTAAAGATCATGGGTACCAGATGTCCCTACGCTCTTAGAGTTTTTGTTTCGATTCCGTAATGAGGCATTGCGACTATGATGAGACCCGTTGCTCTTAAATGTCAAGTTGCATTAATAAACAGGTGTCTGGCTCAAAAACATACTGGAGCTTTAGCTGACATTCCGCTCCAAAAAAGTAAAAGCTAGGTCCTCACCATACTGGGTATGCATATCCAACCTGGTGTTAAACCATCGCTGAGTTAAGTCTTCATGATAGGTATCCACATTAATCTTCGATACGTCGTAAACTCATGCTTTTATGTCTAAGTCGCCAAATATTTCTGAAGGTCGCCGAAATAAAACTTGCCCCAAGGTCGCCTTATCTCAACCCTTACTTTGTTAAAACGAAAGAAAATACTAAATTTTAAACAAAAATTGTTCTTCTACTAGTAATGAAGCGGGTAATTGAAGCCATACGACCGGAGTCGGATTTATAGAAAGTTTGTGAAAATCGTTTGGGATAGATACCGCTCACAAATATATGTTTCATCCGATTTGATATATAAAGAGAAATATAACCTCTCAGTGAGGGCAGGCCCCAAATGGGTTGGTCAATATTGTCCATTTCGTATCTGACCTACGTCTGACATAAACATTACAAGGGACCAGATTTGGCCTTAGTCGACTACTTCCTTCACTTTATATGTCTTATTTGATAATTTTTGGAAAGGGGACAGAAGTATTCCGTATTCTCTGGTTGAGAGAAATAATAAATATTTCGAAAAAATCTCTGATTTGTTTCGCATGTTGTGAGAGATATAATTATTCAAAATTTTGACCCTTTGTGTGGAAGATGACTGGTCCTATTTCTTCTTCACGCAAGATTTTGTTTTAGTGGGAATATTGAAACTTTACAATGTAAGAGAATTGGATGCTTACTTCATATATTATAATCGTTTTGGTTATTCAAAATTTTGACTTTGCGACCAGAAGGAATCTTCAAAACAGTTCTTGTGTTTATAAAAAATATTGAGAAATATCGAGTTTGAAAGGAATTAGATGTTCATTTCGCGTTTTTTGAGAGATATAATTAATCGAAATGTTTACCCTTTGTAGAGGAGGAGTCATCCATCCATCCATCTTCACACCAGATCTTGTTTTAGTATAAATATTGGGATGTGTGAAATTTTAAGCAAATTGAATGCTTATTTCTCTGTCTGTAATCATTTTGTTGATTCAAAATGTTGACCCTTTCTGAGGGAGGTACCAGAAGGAGCGCACCGATGTCTAACATCTTCACAAGAAACCTTGTGTTGATAGAAATATTGAGATTATCCTTTATTGTTCTATTAGGTACCAGAATGAGTGGTCTAGTGTTGCCCATCTCCTAACTCGATCTAAGTTTGACAATAATATTACAATGTACCAAGTTTGGACCAAATCGGATATTCCCATCAGGACTTTTGCTGAATTTCGTCGAAATCGGATCATACTTGAGTTCAACCTTACTGGATTGTCGAAAAGTTTCGACTACAATAAAGTTGTTAAGCTTGGAGCAAACTGATTTACATATAGGTATAATTCCCATACTCCTATATGTTTCTTATACCCATTTTCACATAATATGTATAACTAACTAGTTCTATCTGATTTGAAAGACATTCATTCGATATTGGCTATGGTTCGTATGATCTACTTCACAAATCTCCAATTTAAACCTACATTTGTTACGGGTAGAATTTCATAGTGGTGTAGCGTATCATATACTCGGCGCCCGCCCGACTTTTGACCTTTCATTACGGGTTAACGTTTGACGCGGCTCTCATTGTACGCTCTTTTATTTCTTATCAACTAATTTATCGACTCTTAACGCATTTTCCAAAACTACCACACGCATACTTTCAGTCTTAGCCAACAAATGTCAAAGAAAATCCATAGCATTTTCGGCAACATCTTTTTTTCTTTTTTCTGCTTTGCAAGACATCTTCATTAATTTCTAAAATGTAAATTACAAAATAATTAATTTGAGGTCGAAAGCAAAATCCGAACAAGCAATGAGTTTTCCCAGAATAACCCCCAGCTGCAATGTATTTTAAGACGAAGCCAATTAGTGGATATTCTCCCGGGACCTTTTGTTGCGTGAGTGTTTCATGGAAAATGTCGCACTTCAAACATATTTAATTGCTTTGGAGCGAATTGCACGAGGCCTCCGGAATGGGTTGAATGGGCCAGGGAGGGGGTGGTGATGCTAAAAATGCCTCTGCCGTTGTTATGATTATTTGTAGTCATAGTAGAAGCTAAACAAATCCTCATGAATTTAATTTGATAAAAAGAAAAGTTTATGTATGCACAATGAATTATTCAAAACACACGAATTCGCGAAAGATAAAGAGCGACACGAAAAAAAGGTTTACAAAGGATCGACCCACTGACGTACAGACGAACACGCTTTGTTGTGTTGTGCTAACCCAAAGCCATTCCATCACCCGACGCCCGGTTCTCTACAATCGATTTGTTTGTCTCAATATCTGGCAATTGAAAATCGTTTTGCCGTCCGCCCCATTCCTCCGCCCGCGATTCACTTTGGAATTCGCTGTAATAAAATGCAAAATACTTCATTTTATGTAGGGCGCAATATTTATGAAGGAAATTAGCAAATTAGCAAACAAAAACGTTTCGAAACAATTTGTTAGCAAATGTGTTTCCAATTGTCGTTGCCATTAGAGTCGACCCCCACCTTCGGGCAATTGGGGCAGTAAAACAGCACTTAAAGTATAAATCGATGTTTCATTTACTTGAGCCCAAAACAAAACAAAAAGAAAAAAACTTTTCAAAATTTGAAACAGAAGACGCAAATAATGTCTGCAACAGGCGGTGGTGGCGGCGGAGAATGGGGCCCAGACAGCCACAGCAAAGGTGGAAGCCCAGACAGCATCATGATCCCATTTAGAAATAACACGTTTTTAGAACAAGCCTACCAAATGTTGCAATAGTCGATGGGCTGTCTACTTGAAGCGAGGGGAGGAAGGAGTAAAACAATAACGACAAAAAGATTGATTACCGGGAGTGGTGTAAATGCTTGTGATTTCGAAATCAATGAAGTTCAACAGTTTCGCCCAAACCATTTGTTTCTTTTAAATGACTTGGCCCCCTCTCTCCCACAATTGGAAAAATCAGTAATCATTGAAGGTCTTGTCGTCGTCTCTGCTTTATATTTTTGAAAATATGTTCATATGAACGCTGCTAACGCTTTGTTTTTAAATTGTAACTCTTGTTTAGAGATTGCCAACAAATATTTATTGTCCCTCTGGCTAAGCAACAAAGCGAGCAAAATATTACCAAGGAACAAAAA